ATCGATGTTGTGAACGTGTTTTATTGTTGCAATTATTGTTGATTATAAGATGAGAAGTGGTAATTTTATACGATCTAATTCAATATATTAATTATCATACGCTTTATTATATTGTTAGATATCTCACCCCTTCTGTTTGAATGTTGCCCTTATGTTGGTAACATGCAGGTAATCGAGAGTGAAAGTTGTATACCTTTAATAGTTTGAGTCGGTGTCATTGCTCGATATGTAACACTCGGGGGGATGAACGCTTGTTGCTTATGATTGTTGATTATTCAGTTGTTGAACTTTAAGATAATTATTATTAAAATTGTGATATTTTTAAGTTGTTGTAACGATGATTAAAGATGTTATTAAGAATTCCGCTACGTAGATGTTAAATTGTTGATTTATGAGATTTAATTGTTAAGCTGATGGTTCATCCGAAGTTTTAAAGTGTTATGTATCCACGATGAATGCAATGAGTTTTTAATGATGAATTTGTGGCATCCTGATTCGTTTGCATGAATGATTTTATAACTCTGATTTATTTATATAATTGCCGGGTAGAATTGAGGTGTTACAAAGCACATGGTGTGCACACAAAATCAATCACACTTGACTAAAACAGACGTTGGGCTCCTTAGCATTGAGCCCCCTTTTTTTTTATACTAACTCTCCACATTTATTTCTCATACCAACATACCCAATTCTATTTTTCTTTTATTTTTCTGACTCGTGCCAAAAAAAAACACATTTGGGCCTAGCGCCCTATTTGCTATCTCTTACCCCTTTAATTACTTTTAATACCCAGCCCAAATTTTTTTATATATTTTTATTTTATTTTCTATATTTCAATTTATTTATTTATCTTTTTATATTTAACCCCAAAGTATAAAAAAAATACATTTTTCTTAAATCAAAATATTTTAATGTGAATATTTTATTTTATTAAATTAAATTTTATCATTTCTTTTATAGAATATTTTCTTTATTAACCTTAACAAAGATCATTTTCTAAACAAAATTAAATTAAATTTAGGTTTTTATTTTGATTAACTTAGATTTTAGATTTTTTTATTAAATAATTAATTAACTTCTTTTGTAAATAAAAATTAATTAATTAATTAGGTTAATGGTAAAACCTTTTCCATCAAAAATTCATCATAAAAACAATTTTCTCTCTCTCTCTCTCTCTCTCTCTCTCTCTCTCTCTCTCTCTCTCTCTCTCTCTCTCCTCTCTCTCTCTCTCTCTCTCTCTCTCTCTCTCTCTCTCTCTCTCTCTCTCTCTCTCTCTTATATTTTTATTGCGTACTTTATTATTTCACACTATCATTTATGTAACTGTCAAAGCTTTGTAATAGCAACTAGGATTTATTTTATTTGTCATCCCCAAAGCGTTGTAATAACGTAGGACATTTAAATTCTGCAATTTATCGTTTTCCTTATTATTGCTGCTAATTAGGGTTTGTATGGAAAGAATTTAAAATCAACCTTAGACAATCCTAATTCAAGACAAATTAAATGAAAATAATACACTTTGCACACATGCACCTGTAGGGTAACTCACACTTGTTGTCTTGGATAAAAATAGTCATGTCCCTCGAGCATGAGATGTTTTAGCAAAAGACCCTCGATTAAAAGACCATAGTCCCTCGATGACCCTTCAAATGTTACCTTCGATAAATGATCTTAGTCCCTTACGATAATTGCTAAAACATCTTATAAGTTGTCTTTTATGACTATACGATGACCCACACCGGTCCCTCACATCCAATGATATGACTTCTAATGATAGACAAACACTATCTAAAAGAGGAGGAAAATAACAAAGACTTTTTTGAGTAGGTAGATCACTCGTAGTTGCTTGTTCACAAACAAAATCGTTCACACCTCACAATTTCAAAACACTTTTCAAACAAACATTTTGTATACATTCTCAACGATACGAGAATCATTACAAAATTGCCTTACATTGGCATTTTCAAACACTTACTTTCAACAAATATATTCAAAACCAATACTTTATATACATTCTCAACGATACGAGAATCATTGCAAAGTTTGTCAAACTTAAGCATTTTCAAAATATTTTCAAACTTACACAAACACAAAGCATTTTCAAAGTGAAGCTAGCAATTAAGAGCCCGTAGATAACTACGGGTGAAAAGGGTGCTAACACCTTCCCTTTTCATAACCTACCCCCCCCCCCCCCGATCTCAAGAAAATTCTCATAAAGTCTTTCCTGTTCTTTTCACCCTTTCCTTTATTGGATAAAAAATCGGTGGCGACTCTTACTATCCGCAACAATTGCGATCAAACGCAAAACACCAAGTCAGTTCTCCCACCGTATCACACCTACCTTTTCCTTGAGTACCCAAATACAAGTTGTATAGCTTGGCTATTTGGATACTTATTGTTTGTTAAGGGGTTATGACTCAACTCATCACATATTTTTTCAATAAACGGATAAACGAACGAGATTGACGTATGACCTACCTTTTTCTCAAGTGGTTGAATACAAGTTGTATATTTTGGCCACTTGAGTACTCGTATCCCTTAAAAGCAAATTCAACCAATAAAACTATCTCTTTTCTCCCTAGCGTAACTCCGGAAATCTTTTCGCAAACCAATATGCTTTATCCATTTCGACATGAAACAAACAAACGATTCTGCCTCCAAGCGCGAGCAGCTAACAAGGTTTAACCGCTCAATGTGACTTAAGCATCACTCTTTAAAATCAACTTGACTTAAGAATCACTCTTTAAAATCAACCAACAAATAAGTAGTTTTGTACCAGGAACTACTGAGCTCTAATTTTCCTATTGTACATGGGAATACGTAGGTACGAAATTTTGAAATCTTGGCGAGCACAATAATAAAAAACCTAAAAAAATTCCATTTTTTTCTTTCTTAATGCGTAATAATTAGGAGATCGCAAAACCAAATAAATGGGTCACGTTGAGTACAACGGATGCAAGGGGTGCTAATACTTTTCCCTTGCATAACCGACTCATGAACCTTAATTTAGTTGCGATAACCATTTTTCTTTTTTTTTGTTGGTTTTATCGATATTTTCCTTTTCCTTGGAATAAATAAAGTTCGGTAGCGACTCTGTTGTATTTCGAGAGTTCGTTACACTTGATTATTTTTCGCGATGTGACAACGAAGAACATATTTATCTCAACTTTAAGCGTGAAAGTATTCTACTCAATTTTCCATCATAAGAGCGCACAAGTTATGTGAAATGCTCTTCAAACCTTTTATTAAGAAACTGTATACATTGGGTTCTAAGATCAACATGTTAACAAAGGAGTTTGAACTTTTCCGTATGAAACCCGGAGAATTCGTGGATTCCATGCAGACTCGTTTCCTTCACTTAGTCAACAAAGTAAACAACTTAGAAAAGTCCTTTTCTAACAAAGATTGTGCTAACAAAATATTAAGGTCTATGTGCAGGAAATGACAACCAAAGGTTACCGCCATAAAAGAATCTAACGATCTTAGTACTTTGGACACCACAAAGATGATTGGGAAACTCACTGAACATGAAAAAGAGCTGAAACGACTTGCAGATAACAAAGTGAAGTCGAAAAAGAAAGAGAAAGGTAAAGAAGAGAAAAAAGATATTTCTTTGAAAGCTTCGTCATCTAAAGCGAAGAAATCAAAGGAAACAAGCGATAATTCTGACAAATAAGCTCTTAAAAAAGATGAGAGGCCTCTTTGTATATTAGGAATGTTCAAGTTCCTAGTGGTAAAATGACTTGGTACCTAAAGGTTATTAATGTGGAAATATTAATGGATTCTCAAGACAAATAAAGAAATATGTATCCAATCATATTTTTTATTGTACTGTACTCTTTTTTACTTAATTAGTGTTATTATTTGCAAACTTTACTTGTGCAACAAGTTTAGTCTTAAACTCACCACTCCATAACAAGACCTCTCACCTCACAAAAGCAAGACCATAAGACAATCGTACAAGGCTTCTTACCGTCGTGGACAAACCCTAAATCCCGTTATTTATAATACATCTACTAAAACCTTTGAATCTCCCTGCCTTTGTGAGGAAAACACACACATACTTTTTGACCACTACATCTTACAAAAACTCAAATTTAACATCACAACTCTATAAAGAATCTAATGAAAAGAAATCCATTAGATCAAAACTAAAACAGAAGATATGTTATTAGCCAAAGAAAATGCTAGCAGGTAAGGATTTTGTCATCACTTGTTCGTCAAATCCATCAATAAATTGCGGAGAAGGATTGTAATTGATTTACAAAATGACAAAATGCAAAATGAAATTGAATAAATTAGAATTATAATTGAAAGACTTTGATCAAAGAGGTAAAAATTACATTCTTCTAAAGTCTCACACTTTCAATTGTTACCTTCCTTTTTTTCTTTCTTCCCCTTTCTTTTACCAATCACCTAAGAGTATCTCTAATGGTGCTACTCATATTTGGGTTCTTTGTGGGACCCATTAAACCACGTCATCTTGAATCAACTCACTCCATTTTCCACTCCAATGATACAATTTTAAAGAACTTATATTGGATCCCACAATTTTACTTTGTATATTAATATTTTATTCATACTAAATTTTATTTGATTTAAAATTGTTATTGGATCCCACAATTGATTATTTTAATAATAAAAAAATATGAAAAACCGTTGCTTATATTTATACCGTTCATCAGCTATAACAACTTTTTTGTTGACAATTTCATTGCCAAGCTGACAAATCAAATCTGAAAAACCACCGTTGGAGGTGGTCAAAGTCTTATCAATAACTGATTTACTTCTCATTCTTACCAAGATTCTGTCGCAATTAATCACACTACATTTGCAGGAAATCAAGCCTTTTGATGAGGTTCGGATACCAAACAGTCGAAACCAGATTAACTTTTTGTAAAGTTTAATATAATTATGAATTAAAACAGTCACCAAATTAAATTGTCGTGGAATAAATAATTTCCCCCCAAAAATTCCAGTTGAATATGGTGTAGCTAACATCATTGTGGCTTTGATGGAGTTGGAGATGATGGCGGCTTCAAATCTGGGTACTGCAAAGAAAGATAAAAATGATGAAAGAGTTATTATCTTAACAAAGAATATGATCCTAAAAGTTTAAACGAAACAAAGTGGTACGAGGAAATATCGTAAACATAGATGTTCACTGCAGTGTGGTTCCTTTTTATGTTTTAGAATCACAAGAGTTTAAAAAAAAATAGTATATAATAAAATTAATCAAATTTACTGATAATTTAATGATAGTGGATGTATTGACAAAATATAAACAACAACAATCAAGCCTAAGTCTACTCCATTAAGTGGAATCGACTCATGGATCAAACTACATCATAATAGTTCTGTCAAAAACCATGTTTCTATCCAAGTAACTTATCTCAATATCTTTTTTAATGGTTTCTCTTATGATTTTTCAAGGTCTTCCTCTACCTCTAGCGGTTTGACTATTCTACATCCGACTTACTCTCCTTACTATAAAATCCACATGTCTTTTCTCTACATACCCAAACCACCTAAACCTAAATTTCACTACCTTTTTAATTGTAGGTGTTACCTCAACTCTCTCTCACTCTCTCTCTCTCTCTTTAATGTCATTTCTAATTCTATCTCATCTAGTCTTACCATGCATAAACGCATCATCCTCATTTCTACTACACTTAGTTTATTTTTGTATTGGCTCTTTACAGCCTAACATTACGTCTTGTACCCTATCATCGGTCTTACAATTGTTTGATGAAAATTTTCCTTCAATTTGAGTGATACTTTCGTATCACATAAAACTGATTTCAACCTGGTATATGAAGGGACAAAAAATCACAGTACTCGTATGGCCTGAATATCGATATTCTGAGTGTGATCCTAAGCACTTTCACCATGGTACTAATTTCGTCCTAATTTAGATATGGAGTGGATGATTTTTTAGTGGTACAAATTCAAGTTGCACAATGATATATCTATTAGACCCGTAAAGCATGTTTATATAAAATAAGAGGGAAGGGAAACAAAGGTTGCTAGGCCATATGAAATGGGCCAACAGAATGAAGTACCGGTGGATGCACATGAAGATAGTAAGGGATAGAATGAGAGGGGGCATAACCAAAAGTAAATCTGGCAGATTTGGATTGAAGGAAGGAAGCATGAGGATAATTGGGGAAGGAGGAGAGATACTTCTAAGGGAGGGTTAAACAGGATTGAGAGGGCATGTTCAGTATGCGGTGGAATTTGGGACTGATCAGTTGGGTTGATTCCCATCTTAGCAGGGTACCCTTCTTCATTGAGTGTCATTTTCTTTTACCATTTCTACAAGAACTATCTCTAGCCATTGCAAACCATTTCAGTTTTCACTTCCATATAGTAAAGAGGACATATCCTCTATTTTTTAGTGATATGAATACCACTCAGTCCATTACAGAGCAGATTAGTAATTCTATTGTCCTCCTTTTCTGTTAGTTCTATTACATAATAATTCAAAATCAATTTTAGCTAATTGATATTTTCTGCTTAAACCATTGAAAGTGCACTTCTACATATGAAGGGTCACAATTGAAAAGGGAGAGAGTGGAGAATAACATACATTGGCATAGGGAGAATGGGAAACTATCGATCCGAGTTTCAATTTCGGATTGGACTCAACAGACCTTTTCACATGACCATTTTCCGTCTCTTGGTTTCCAACTGCAGGAATATCTGAGGATAACACACTGTCATTATTACAATCATTTTGCTGAATGGACCCATTTCCATTTGTACTGAGCTCTTGTTGCACTTTAGTCTTTTTTCTTCGGTTGATATGCACCGGAGGGGGCAAAAGGGTATCCTGTATAGCCTGCAACAACAACAAAAACCCAACATAAGAAATCTATTCCTTACTTGAAACAATTTTTCAGAACCAAACACTTGCATTCCCATCCATACCATCCACCCTTGCTGGCCTCTAACTCCACCTTTGATCGCATAGGCCTCTTTAAAACCATTCTTGAATAACAATTCAGCAACTTTCATGGAATTACCGTCAAAACTACCTTACATTCAAAAGAGTAACAAGTTAGAATTTTTCACACTTTTACAACAGTATATGGTTAAAGAAAACGCAAATTGTAATTTCATCAAGATATACATTGCTGCAAAACAAGTTTATTTCTTCTTACCTGTCCAAAATAAACACAACAGTATTCTCAGCATCCTCAAACCTCTCCAAAACTTTCTTCACAAACCCATCTTCATTCCCCTCCTTAAACTCAACCTGCACCACTTCCTTCTTCAACATCATCAAATTAGGAGACCCAAGAAACTTCACATTCTTCCTATCCCTTATATCCAACAGCTCCGAATCCGGTTCATCCCGGAGCTTCCTGAAAGCGTCAATAGCTGACACAAACTTATACTTCCTGAAATACTCTTCTGCTAAGGGAATACCAACGAGATAAACGAAGCTGCACGCAGCAACGAAAAATGGGTATCGGTTGAAGAAATCGTCAATGGAGATAAGGATTGTTTCTAAGTTGATTCTGCCTGCGTCTGATAAGGGTAAAGTGGGTTCGGCAGCGAGGGAGTGGAGGGGAGTGAAGAGGTTGATTGTAGCGAGGGAAAAGCATGATTTTGTGAGGGGGTTTTGGAGTGAGATTGGAGAATGGGGTTTGAGGGAGGGAATTTGGGGTTTTTTGTTGGGAAGAGATGCAGAGAGGGGTGAATTAGGGTTTGAGAGAAAGGAGAAGGGCTTTGTGGGGGAGAGTTTTGGATAAGAGAGGAGAAGAGAAAGGGAATCCATTAGAGAATGCATAAAGAGCTTATCATTATCATATGCACCTTCTATTCTTCTACATACACTAGTTAGGAATTTTTTATTTATGTTTTTATTTTGACAAATTTAATATATCTTTTATATATGTTTTCTTTTTTTATGGAGACTTTCTATTTTAGGCTAGATTAGTTATTTTGATTGAAATGATTTTTTTTTTTGGTTTAAATGTATTTTTAGTTTCTCTAATAGTTTTAGACTCTCATTTTAAAAAATTTATTTCACTTGAGATTTTTATCATTTTCTTTCATTAGACATCTTCATTAACGACGTAGTAAGAGATTTGTGCATTCACGTCTGATATGTTTAATTTTTATTATTTTTAGAATTTAATTTTAAATATTAAAAAATATTTTTTATTTTTAAAAAACATTTTTAATTATATGTAATTAACTTAAATAGGCAACTGGAATGATTTTAACTCTAATCAATCTTCTTTTGTTTCAATCACACTGCTGCAAGCTTCTCCATTTTCTTCTCAAAGTTTGCACTTAGGGCACGACGGCGATTGCGGGTGAGAAACGAAGAACCAAGTTGTTCAACTGAAGCGCTGAGAACGAGATTGAAGATGACTAATAGACAAGTGAATTTTTGCTTAAGGTGTATTGTCTTGTCTTCTTTGGAATGTTTTGCTTTATGCGACATTTCACACTTGTTATAGATTGTACTGGTCCACCGTGTTTATTTGTGTTGTTTGTGGTCCACCGTGTTTATTTGTGCTTGTTTGTAGTCCACCATGTTTAATTATGTTTGTTTGTGGTTTAACTTATTAAAATCGTATTTTAATATTGTGTACTCTCAGGCCAAGTCATGAGACTAAAGTTAGGTTAAGACTGATTAAAAGCCAGGGGTAGATTTGTAACTGAACCTGTTAAGTTGTATGTTGGCAGAGAGGTAACTGAGATGGATTGGAAGTGGGATATTGATTTCATGTCATACATGGATTTGAAGGAATTGATTAAAAGACAATGTTATGTATACATTAATAATATGTGGTATAAGAACCATATATTCAACTTTACTTGTGGTCTTAGGCCCCTAAACAATGAAAATGATGTGCTCCAGTTTGCCTAAGATGTTGTAGGCCACGAGGTGATAGATGTGTATGTTGAGCACAAAGTGTATGCACCCCCTGATATTGTGGTTCCAAGTGAATTAGATAATATCATTGATGATGAAGATGTAGAATGTATTTATGTGAATATGCCTAATGATAAAGTTGGTAATGACCAACCTGAAGTGAGTGAGCCTAACTGTGAACATGTTGATGACCAACCTGCTATGAATGAGCCTAACTTAGAAGATGTTAATGACCAGCCTAATGTGAATGAGCCTAATTGTGAAGATGAGCTTAGTGAAGATAGTGACTTTTGTGAGGATATTGAAGAATGTGAGGAGATGGATTGGACCAAAGTTCTACCTCCTGGGACATTAGGTGAGGTTTCTAGTGAATCAATTTGCAAAATAAAGATGTAGACGATGAATATGAGGATCATTTATACACACCCTCTAGCAGTGATGATGAAGAAGATGTAGAAAAATTTCTAACATATAAGAGTGGTGAGGGATGTGTTTTCAAATTAGGAATAATATTAACAAACAAGAAAACAATAAGAGATGCAATCAAAGAATATGGAATGGAAAATCAAAAAAATGTGTTCATTAAGAAGAATGATTCTAAGAGTATTATAGTTAGGTGTATGGGTGGTTGTAAGTTTTACTTAAGGATCAGTAAGAGGAATATGCAACAATATTGGAAAATTGTTAGTTATGAGAGTGAGCATACATGTTACAGAACTGCAGATAATAGGAATGCAAAGACACATTGGCTTGCTAAAAGGTTTGCACATGTGCTAAGGCACAATCCTTATATAAAGCCAGCTGGTCTAGCAACTGAAGCACTTCAGAGGTAGGGAGTGAAGATATCATCACATCAAGTATACCGGGCAAAAAGGAGGTCATTTAATCTTATCCAAGGTGTTGGTTTTGACCAATATAGTCATTTGAGAAGTTATGCAGATGAGTTGCTTAAGTCAAATCCCAAGAGCATTGTGGTTATACAATATGCAGAAAGCAATGGAAGTCATGTCTTTGAGAGAATATATATTTGTCGGGATGCTTGTAATTCAGGATTTTCCAACACATGTAGGCCACTTATTGGCTTGGATACTGCTTTTTGAAGGGGGGATATGGTGGCCAATTGATGACAACTGTAGGAAGATATGGTAACAACCAAATATATTCAATTGCATATGCAGTGGTTGAAGTTGAGACCATGGATTCATGAGAATGGTTCTTACATCTACTTCTAGAAGATTTAAGTGTATTCAATCAAAGAGCTTATGGTTTTATTTCTGACCAACAGAAGGTATATGAGTTTATTCATTATGTATTCTGTAATTTCTTGATGTTATAATTCTAGCTATGTATTTAATGTTGTCTTACATTACATGTGCTAGGGGTTGGTTTCTGCTATCCAAGGCTTAAGTGCTCATGTGGAGTAGAGACTTTGTGTTAAACATCTTTATGGTAATTGGAAGAAAAAGCATTCGGGTTTAGAGCTAAAGAAGGTGATGTGGGTTGCAGGTAGAGCAAATACAATACCATGATGTGAAAGATAAATGGATAAAATGAAATTGTTAAATGAAGGTGCATAGAAGGATATGATGGACACCCTTGCAAAATTCTGGACAAGATCACACTTCAAGACCCACACAAAATGTGATATGCAAGTTAACAACATATGTGAGGCTTTTAACATGGAAATATTAGAGAATATAGATAAGCATGCCATCACCTTATTGGAGGGAATCAAACATTATATCACAAAGATGATAACAAAACAAAAGGAGTTACTACAAGGTTATGAAATGAGTATTTGTCCTAGAATCCAACTGATTATTGAGAAGAACAAAAAAAAGTACAAGGGTGGAGTCCAACTTGCCATGGTGATGATGATCTCCAAATATTTAGAGTGACCAATGGGATTGATACATATTGTGTCAATCTTAAAAATGAAACATGTAGCTGTAGAAAACGGGATTTGATAGGAATCCCATGTTGTCGTGTAATCTCTTGCATTTAGAACATAAAAAAAGCCTGAAAATTATGTATCACATTTTTATAGGTATGATAGATTATGATATATTCAACTATATTCTAAAATTTGGATGTGATAGATTATGATTCAATTTCTGCTTTTGCAGCAAGGCAACATTTGAGAAGACATGTGTTAATATTGTGTTTCTCATAAATGGACCACAACTATGGTTTACTATTGATCATGTGTCAATTTGTCCTCCTATTATGAGAAGATCAATTGAACGTCCAAAGAGGATTAGAAACAAAGCAGCTGATAAGTCAAAGAACCCTCATGTGCTATCAAGGAAATTTGGAACAGTAACTTGTAAAAAATATGGTCAAATTGGACACAACAAGATAACTTATAAGGGTAAGAGAGCAGTTGATAGGACAATACCAAAAGGAGGCAACAAGGCTAAGAAGGCAAAGACTACAAAGAAGGAAAAGGAAACAAAGAAGGCAAAGGAAACTCAACCTGGAGTTGGACAAGGGTCTTAAAGACTGTGTCTTTTTTTGAATGTAACATGTTCTGTTTGGAACCACTATGTTTTGATTGTAATATGGTCATATTATGAACCATTATGTCTTGGTTTGTTATGAAAAAATTATGAAGAAGTTATGTTATTTTACTTTGGTCTCTTATGAACAAGTTCTGAACAAGTTATGTTATTTTACTCTGGTCTGTTATGAACAAGTTGTGAACAAATTATGAACAGGTTATGAATAAATTGTATAATCTGCAATTGGTATAAGCTCCAAATAAATTATATAGATATGTTATATTACTTTGGTTTGCAATTGGTATAACCTGCAAACAAATTGTATATGTCTGTTATATTACTTTGGTCTGCAATTGGTATAAGTTGTATAGATCCGTTATATTACTTTGGTTTGTGTTGCACCCCAAAATTTGCCCTCCCATATTCTCCAAGAAATTGCCAAGCCAAGTCACAAAATTCCCCAAGGGTTGTGCAGTCCAACTGTCTCCTATACAGTCAAAACTAGGGTTTGTGTGCTGATCAAGAAAATGAAGTTTTCAAAGGTCCAATCAAGTCTCACATGCCTACAAACATGGTCAAGTATCCTCATACAAAGTTTCAAGGCATTCAGCTCAAAATTGCACAGTCAAAACCCTAAATTGCACTACAGTCAACTGTAGGGGCAAAATGGTCATTTGACAGTCAAAAGTTCAAATTTTTGGTCAACATATCATTTTGAAGCCACAAACATCATTTGATCAATGCTTGATCATGATTCTCAAAATTTGGCTCAGAAATCATCAAAGATGCAAAAGTTTCCTTATTTGGACAGTTGAAAAAGTCAACCGAAATTGACCAGGACATAACTTTCACATGGATTATCAGAAAAATTCCATCCAAAGCTCATTTTGAAGAGAAAGACATTTCCTACAACTCATCTTCATACTTCAAGTCCAAGAAATGCTCTCACAAAAAGTTATCAATTTCAACATTATAGGTCATTTTCAAAAGTCAACAAAAAGGGACTTCAAGTCAAAGGCCATAACTTGAGATTGGTAAATCAAAATGACATGGGACCAAAGGCATTGGTTAGAGGACTCAAAAAACTTTCCAAAATGTCCAAGAACATGATAAAAGATTAAAAATTGAGCAAGTTATGCCTTGTGGAAGTTGGGAAATTTTTGGATATTTTGAAAAGTCAACATTACTTCAAATGACCTAAATTTGCTAATGGGCCCATTTTTCTTCCATGATTCATCATTCTAAACATGTGCACGACCATTTGGCCCAAAGGGAAGTATTTTCTCATTATTTATTTATTTATTTGAATTTCTATTAATATTAATTCATTTAAATCATTTTAATATATGGAAAATATTTAATTCACCCTAACCAATCTTTTTGTACACA